CTGAAACTCCGTATGGAAATATTTTTTGATCAAAATAAGGAAATATTTTTCATGTTACCATATGTTCTCTCTCTAACGGTAAAATTGGAAGTAATTAATGCTAAATTGTCAATCAGAATATTACCTATTTCCAAATCACATCGCCTCCTAATGCCATCAGCCGCCCGAATTTCTTTTGAATTCTAGCCCAAATTTAGTACCAAGTGAATTTGTAAAATTAAAAAATTTCATTGGACAAAACTTATAATTGGTATAGAATAAAAAATAGAAAAATGTTTGTTCTACATCACCCTTTGTCATTTAAAAATTTATAAGGTGTCAAAAAGATAGTATCAATACTCAACAGTGATATTTTTCCTCGATTTTCAGCTACAAACTTCCCGGTACGTAAATGTAACTTCTATCATATCAAAATTTAAAGACGGCTCAAATAGTTTATGGGTTTTAGGGAAAACATTTGGAAAACGTCACATATACGCTCTTTCTTGACATGATGATTGAAATTGTGTATGTTTCCAAGTGTTGATTTGGTGGAAAAATTGTCAAAAATTTAATGTGTTCATGATGTGTTGTCATGTGATTCAATATAAGAAATAATGTAGAGGATAATGTACATGTAGCATGATTGAAACATTTCAAGGTCCTTCGCAAAAATAATAACCATGATAAACATATACACGGGTGCACGTTCTTAAGTAATGATAATCAGTGGCGGAGCTAGCACCCAACGAGGGGGAGTGGCTTTGCGTGCTGGACTTCGTCGGAACTTTAGTAGTCGTCCCTGGCCGAGTGCCAAGTGCAGAGACAGAGCGGTGTGGAAGGAAGAAGGCAAGGGAGGGAAGCAGTAATTGCCAATTAGTTTCTTTCTTTCTTTCTTTCTTTCTTAGTTGTAGCCCTTTTGTTTGTGCTCATAATGATGGCCTAATGGGCCTTTAAAAAAAACTAGGCCCAATCCATGGATATATCAAATGTGTGTAGCAGTACTCACGAGTCTCGCAATTGCAAACCCTCCTTCTCCTATTCTCCACCTCCTGGCTCCTACCGTGCGATTTGTGAAGGGAAGCGGTACTCAAGCAGTTGTTGTTGCCAACGTCGTCGTCGATAGAGCAGTGAGCGCCTTTCTCTCTCCCTCTTTCCTTTTTTTTTTTTTTTGTTTTGTGTTCTGTCATCTGTGTGAAGTTGTCAACAATAGAATCTTGGACGGTCGGACCTCTTGTGAGCAGTGAGCGCCTTTCTCCCTCTCTGTTTTTTTTTCTTTTGGTTTTTGGTTTTTGTTCTGTGTTCCTTCATCTGTGTTCACACTTCACATAGTCATATAGTTCACTTTTTTATTTATTATCTATGAATTATGATTTATGTTTTATGTTTAATGAGTTAATTGACAGAGAAATGAGAGTTGTGATTTATGATAAATAATTTATGTTGTATGAGTTATAATTTATTATTTATGAGTTTTGATTTGTGATTTGAGAATTTATGTTTATGAAATTAGGATAAGTGAAAAAAAATTAATGGAGAAGATATTGGGCTCAATTCAAAAATTTATACTCGATTTTTTAATCAATTTTAATTGAAAAATAAATTGGGGCATTTGGCAAATTACGGAACAATTTTTTCAACCGAAACAAGAGTGCATTCCTGGTTCTTCTAGTTCTAGTGGTGCATCTAATCCCGCCACTGCTTCTAATCGAACACACGAGTTGTTAAAAAACACAAAAAAAATCTTTGGTTCAATTCGATGTGGATGATCTTGTATCTGATCCAAGAAAATGCCCCATATTAGCTCATATAATCCTAATATTAGAGATGATGTTACGATATCATACTTATTTAATTAAATATTAATAAACGATCTCGCTATTATGATCATTGATTGTCGATGGTCAATCGTCAACGATCAACAGTCAATAGTCAAAATCCACCCTATTTGAACTTCGATCTTGAATTCGCCCCTCATGATAAGTGTTATATTTATCAGTCACAAAAAGTGGCTTTTGTGACTATTATTGTGAAATTGATACTTAATTATTAATATTTTTTTATTATATTTGGAGAAAACTCGAATTGGAGCAAATATGGATCAAGAAAGATGAAATTGAATAAAATCTGCAATTTTAGGATCAAATTCCACAATTTAGAAATTGAAGGACTTGAAGAAGAAATGGGTTGTGCAATTAATTGAACTCTCGATGATTAAAATGTATTACTTGAAAGAATTGAGGCCTTGAAGATAAATAATTCACTGATTGGTTTTTAAAGATCTTTTTCTATTCCTTCTAGGTGATTAGGACACAAACAAATGGTTAATATATTCAAGATAATTACTTATGAGTTAATTCACTTAATTGTTCCAATGGTCACTAAACTTATGTTTATATCTTCAATTGTTCACTGAAATTTGAAATGTTGAGTTTTGACCACTAAACTTTGAAAAATGTTGGACGTTACTCACTAGTATAACATCCATTTAAAACCTCTAACAGAATTGATGATGTGGCCGACGTAATGTATACGTGTGGCATCTGTCACACTGTCACGCTATTAAACTTTGAAATGGTCAAATTTTGATAACTAAACTTTGGAGAATGTCTTTAATTGTTCACTAAATTTTGAAAAATGTCTTCTGCTGCTCACTAAACTGTAAGGTGGTCGAATTTTGATCGCTAAACCTTGATATGGCTGAATTTTGGCCATTAAACTTTGAGATAGTTGAATTTTTGCCACTAAACTTTAAAAAAGCTTTCGATTGCTCACTAGACTTTAAAAATGTCTTATAATGCTCACTAAACTTTGAGATAATCAAAATTTGACCAATAAACTTTGAAAAACATCTTCTATTACTCACAATAAATTTGGATTTAATTAAAATTCATTGTTAAATTTTGGATTAAAATTTGAATTTAATTTAATTCTAACAACTAATTTAGTCTATGTTTGGTAAGAATTAAAATCTAGATTTTTATCAAACTCAAAGTCAACAATTAAATTTAATCACATATTTATGGGATCCACAACTTTTCAACAGGACATTTAATTAACTTGTATCAAAATCTGCTAAAAATTTTATTTTAATCCCCGACCAAACAAGGGCTTATTGTGTATTTCGTTGTAAAATTCAAATATTAAAAGTAAAATTTAATTTAATTGTAATAACAAATTTATTGTATATTTCATTGCAATTAGTAGGCATTTCCTTTACACAATTATGCAAGCATTGTCTATCATAATATTTGAATTTTGCAACAAAATATACAATAAGTTTGTAATTAAAATTTAATTAAATCAGAATTTTAATATTTGA